CGGGATGATGCGGTTTGCCGCGGGGAAGGCCAGCCCTCAGGATGGACGATGAAAGGGTTGAAATGGTTGACGGAGTGTAAAAAACAGAGGGCCAGACGGAGGCCCTGATATTTCTCTCCTGTTAGTTCAATTGAGATGTTTACAATAATGTTGTGCTACTGTCTTCAGAGGACTCTATCCTTGTGATTGAAAGGTGCATCATCAGCCCTCTAGTTATCGAATTTCAATAGTCTTATCCATCAACATTTGACGTTTTTCGTGGCGGGTATCAAATCTTCCATTGTTTTCTAGTGACGTTGCAGCAACATTATTGCCCCACGGGAGTCCGCGGAAAAAAAGAAACCCTGCCCCCCCGGAGCAAAGAAACTGTCTAATCACTCGCTTCGACCGAAAGAAGGGGACAGGCTCGAGGCCACAGCGTGCTAGACCGAGCTGGACATTGGGAGAACAGAAAGGGCCTCACTCACTTCCGTGCAGACTTCCTCGCCAAGACCTTTCCGAAGCCGCCTCAAGCGCACGAAGGGCACAGTGAGGACGAAAGGGCCCGACTCAAAGACGGATTTTATTCCTCGTAGTACTCCGTGTTGGTGGGGTTTCCGTCCGCGTCGACATCGCGCTCGCGCCGGTATGGGTTCTTGCCACGGCCCGTGAGCGCCTTCACCTCCTTCGTGCCGAGGAGGACCCTGTCGAAGCCGGGTGGTAAGACGATGTCCGCTCTGGAGACGGGCGTTAGCTGGTGCTCTGGCAAAGTAGACGGACATGCGTGAGAGATGGCGAGGGATGACATACTTGAGGAAGTCCACTTTGAGGTTGCGCGCCTTGTCCCGAATCGCCTGCTGGCCTCGGCGGTCTTCGAAGTGCCTTTCCGGGTCATACCCCGTGGGCTCCTCGTCTTTTGTGCTTTGCCCGGTGCGCGGATTCGCCCCTTGTTCGATCAGGCTCCAGTTGCATCCCAGCGTGGCGATGAGGTCGATGAGCTTGCTGACGTCACGGTTGGACCAAGGGACGCGGTGCTGGACGCGTGGGGTCGTGGGGGTGCTGTTGCGGTTGCGCTTCTGGATGTCGCGGTAGTCGGCGTGGATGGCGGAGCTCGAAAAGGAGGAAGCAGTGTGGCTGCGTCCATCTTCGTCATTCGGATTTTCGGGATCCCGCTGATCGAAGGCTCGGCTGTGATCTGGGACGGCGTGACGCCTCGGGAGGGGAGCGGAGGAGCCGACGAGAGTGGCTGACGAGGGCAGCGTGTCATGACGCGAGCGTTTCGACGGTGGCGGGGGCATGGCACGTCGGTCTTCGGCGCGTCGGCGCTCATCGGGCTCTCGTTCGTCTTGCTCAAAGTCGTCGTCCACATCATCAGTCTCAAAGACATCATCATCTTGGGCCCGTGCTCGCTTCCTGTTACCGTCGTTGTTGCTGTTGGCTGACCGGAAGCTGGAGGCGGCAGGTAGTTGGGTCTGCGAGCCCACAACGTGCGCCTGAGAGGATGTCTGCCGGCTTGAAGAGGGAAGCTGTCTGAGGATGGCGTTTTCGTACATGTCGCTTGTTGTCGAGGTCGGTGAGCCAGGTACATTGAGGGGACTGTTCCGGCCATACTGCGGAGATCGCGGGCCGTCATAAGCGTTGCCAAACGATGCAGGCCCATAGGCATCTTGTGACACACCAGCAGCTTCCCCAAGCTGCATCAATCGGGCAACGGCGCTGTTGGTGATGGGGAGCTGTTGTCCGGATCTGCATGTGGTTAGTAGAACTCAATCGTTGCAACATGGAGCCGGAGAGCCTGCTTACGTCCGAGGGCGTATAACTTGTTGCGAGCCCTGTGAGCCAGCGACAGATCTCGACGCTTCGCGGTTGCTCGCTGCGGTGTGCAGGTCGTCCTGGATGGTTCGCTGCACTTCCTGAAACTGCTCTAATGCCCAGTCGATCTGGTCTGAAACCCAGCCCTGTGGGGGAAACCTTTCTTTGAGATGTCGTATGATGTCCGCAGTGCTTTGGGCTTGGCGTGCCGTCTCGAGGATGTCTTTGACCCTATCGTGACAAGCAGTAGCGATGGCATTTTCTAGAGGTTGTTTGAGACAACATATGCCTGCCATGTTCTCTGGGGTAAGGAGTTCGTCCGGCTCCTGAGCATCATCATCTATAGAGAATATAGCTGCAACAGTGCGCTCAATATCGAAATCTTGCTTGTTTTCAATGGCGCAAATCAGGCGTTGGGTGCGAATACTGAGCGCCAGTCTGACGATTTTACCGTCGACATTCCATTCCACACCTTCGTCGATCATCTCGTGGAAAAAGGGCATGAAAGGGGCAGGAAAGTCCTGGTCCAGGCGCTGGAGAAGTGCTGTCGGGTCGAGGGAGAGGCCGCAGATCTCGTCAAGCAAACTCGCCAGATTCACGGATGCGAATATGGCTTGCGCCTGCTTCTGAACGTCCTTGCCTAGACGATCGGCTGAACCCTGTATATCGATCAATGGCACGCTATCATCGACGTACATGCGGCGGAACTCGGTGAACGGCTTGCGGTGGACGGCGATCAGTCGTTTCCACACCTCATGTCGCGGTTTCTGGTCCCTAAAAATCTGGTCGATCAGAGCCTCCGAGGCCTGGTTGATGTCTCGCAAGACAAGAGTCTGTAACTCGATAGCCTCGTTGTCAAGCTGAAGTGGATCGACGATACCCTCTTCGCTCTCATCGCCTGCTGACGACGCATGCCGCACGTTTGAAGGCTCTAGAGAGGAATGAATCACCCAGTCTTGCTGGTTATAGGGTTCAGGCAAACTCACCATCTTCCTCATCATCTACATTTGACTGAGAGTAGGCGTCATAATCTTGGCACGAGCCAGCAAAATCAGCTTCTCAGGACTTCGTGGATAGCAGATGCAGCATGCTCACCACTGTTGGCCGCAATGCTGGGCTGGATGTTATCCAGGTTTATGCTTTGCGCACGATCCCCGACCATGGGAGCAGCACGTCGAGCTGGCGGGTCATAAGAAGACACAGGCTCGGAAGCCTCTTTCCCTGTACGTTTATTGGTAGATTCCGTAGTTCTTCTCCATCATTGGACTGCTTGACGCGTCGCAATTGGGGAAGTGGTGGTGATGGCTGTGTTTTTGGGGCGCGCTGGCGCGACCGCGTTACACGCCCTTCTTGCTGCTGGGCGGGAGGATCGGGCACCAGACGACTTGATTTCGCTCGCGGCATGGCGATGACTACTTTGATTTGCGCAGCTCGATTGCTTGTTGACGGGAGACTGTGAAGCTGGGGTGACCGTGAGGACTGACCCTAACCCTCTAGGGTTATTGTTCATGGCGGGCCTTCGTGCCTCAGGAGCCAGCAACCCTCGTCTTGCAACGATGGGTAGGTACGTACCTTCAGCACTGGAGCTACGTACCCACTTTCCATTCTCAGACCAACAACCCAGTAGCTGCAGCTCGGCACTCGGCCTGGCACTGTGAGGCAGATGCGAGGCAGGGCATCTACATTTGCTTCTCACTTACCTCCCTACCCGTAAGGTACATTCCCCTTCTAAGCTGACTTGGGTGCCTCAGAGTGCTCAGGTTCAAGCACCTCACTTGTCGCTGTGTGAAGCCTGTCCACGCAGCACGCAGACTGATAATTTGCCTTGCATCCATCCTGCATGCGGCTTACTCGACGTGGCTAGACATGGTGAGGGGCTATGGATGGCAGTGCTGCAAATCATTTGACCCACAGTTGGCCCATTTCAACGGAAAGGCATCACACTTCCCTCACGAGCGTCTTCAACTTGATCCTAATTTTGGGTCAAAACGCAAAGCTTCCTATATGCCTACACGGTCTTCTTCACGGTAGCTGGCCCTGCGCCTTCCTCACACTTCAGCTTGGTCAACATCCACTCCGCCTTGCAATGCCCCGTCCCCGTCGTTCTGTGCTACCATGATTCATGCTAGGCATTCATCGACAAATCGTTTCGACTTGCCGCGGTGTCGTGGTTAGCAAACACGACCCTGCAGACTTGATCCTGGCTTCGGAAGCCCCAAGGAAAGCCAACTCCTCTAATGTCGCTTCACTGCCACCTTCTGAGGCAGACCATCTGGGCCAAAAAGCCCAAGCAGGTACGCCGTTCGAGTCAGGCACAAGAAGGCCTGCATCATCAATCAGTCAGCAGGCATCGATGCAGTGGGTGGAATGTAGTCATGCTCACAGTCGCGCCGACGTTGCCCCACGTCATGGCGTTCCACTGCGCAACGTCGACAAACTTGCCATACCCCAGACCATGGTAACAAGCCCACAGGTGCCCAAGGTCGGCCACCCACAGCGCGACGAGGTAGTTCCGTACTACTCTGATCTCGCTCGTGGAGGACAAGACCGCGACACCGATCATGGCGAGCAGGAGGTAGAGGTTTCCCAGCTGCAAAGTCACCATGCGACCATTGTCCGAGTGCAGAGGCGGGGTCTGCTGGATTATCTGATCAGTGACAAACTGATCCGGGTTTACGACGACTCCCAGGAACCCTGCGACTCTGTTGGCGTGTCAGTACTAGTACACTGCCCGCATCATTCCACATTTCAGTAGAAAATAGATATGCAGACGCACAGCGACAGGGGTTCTAAAATGGTGAATACTGTCCGGGGAAAACCCGGCAGAGCAGACGCCATGACTGCTCCGTCTTTCGGGGGGGGGGGCACTTTCGATGCTGTGCTACGCGAGAATGGGATGGACGTAGGAGAGAAGCGACGGGTGGCGGGCAACGTCAGAGTCGACAGACTACCAAGGACAAACAAAGCCTTGCAGGACAAACACGGGCTGGCAGAACAAGAGGGAGGCGACAGCGCAAGTTGATGCAGCTTGACGAGTATCGGAGGGACGAGGGGCTAATCCAGTCGAGCAAACAACAAACACGATGAAGCCACTTCAGTCTCCTCTCTGTTTTTGGCTCGGTCTTCCCTCTAATAATAAAGAGTCTCCCCACTGTTGTTCAGACGTCTAAATCAGTCAACACCCGAAACCGGATAGCCCTGGCCTGACGGTACGGTACCTTGCTTCTTTGCTAGGTAGCTAGGGGGAGGGGGCGAGAGGCGAAGTCTGTGCCTCTCCACCTTCAAGGTCCCAAGTTCCGAGTCCAAGCCCCTCCCGTCCATGTCAAGTGGACTGATACTTAAGCCTTCCCCACGTGCTGATAAGCTCCGGTAGCGTGAAACATTCTTCGATAAGAGCGCCAAGGCAACCTTATTCGGCCAGTGCCCTCTTTGCCTCATCTTTGGTCCCGACTGGGAGTAGGTGCCTGCCACCTACCTGAGCCGTGTCGCCCCTCGACCTGAGAATGCCTTCGCGGAGCAAAACGTGTGCCGTCAGGAGCCGGACTTGATTGACCACGCAGCTGCTTCGGCCAAAAATACCCGCCCCGCCCTCTACGACTTCACAGTTTGCTGTCCGTTCTTATATCTTGCACATCCTTTCTGTTCATTGTGCCCTCCTCCTTCCACCCACCCCCCTCTCGCTGCCTACGTGCTCAACCGCAGGTTTACCTCGATGCAAGAGCCGACTTCTCTCGCCCACGATGGCATTCATCGAACCGCGCCTCATCCACCTGCTCAACGATGCGACAACCCCTCAGCTCGGACACATCGACCTTCCTCCCTTCACCGAAGCTTTCCCCGAAGCCTCTGACCGGCTGACACCCCTCGCACCAACGGCTGGTCGAAGAGACGAGCTCCTTGGTGCCGCACCGCCGACTAGCAACCATGGCTCCCTATCACAGACGGCGGGCGCATACGATGATGCAGGGGCGACGCTGCGAGACCTTAGGAGGGACGGGGACGCCGCGACAGACAGGAGTGCCATCGCCAACGTTCCTCGCATCCCGCTGAGATTGCTCCTCGGCGAAACGGATGAGGCCAGCCACATGTATGCTCCAGGCCAGGAAGTTGACGATGGGCCTGAGGGCAAGGACGACCCCGCATCGAAAAAGAGACACCGAGCCATGACGAATAAGGACGACCTCATGCATTTGCCCCAGCCGGTGAAGAAACAAAAGGCAGCATCCCAGACCCGACTGCCGCCCATGCCGCCCATCATCAACGGACTACACGAACCTCCACCCAACGCCGCCCTCTTTCCCCCAATCTCTTCCACCGAATTCGATACACCTGACCCCGATGCGGCGCAGCGCCAACCGGCGGCGAGGGAACTGCCACAGGTACACGAAGACAAGCCCATGGAGGTGGAGCCCTCAAAGTCACAAAAGCCGGGGAGCGTCAAGACGAGAAAAAAGGCCATGAAGCCCCGAAGGAAGTGGTCAGAATCGGAGACCACACACTTGCTGCTCGGTGTAAATCGACACGGTGTGGGCAAGTGGACAGACATTCTCGCCGACCCCGAGTTTAACTTTAACAGCCGCACAGCGGGGGGATCTCAAGGATCGCTTCAGGACGTGCTGTCCGACAGAGCTTCGGAAGAACGGCAAGGAAACGTCAACGGCGTCGGTCGATCCTCTTCCCACGCCGCCTGCGGGAGTCCAAGGGAAAGGCGAAGACAGGCCTTCTTTCGGAGAATATCCTCATTGACCCTGATGAAGCATTCGACCCAGACCAGTGTCAGCAGAACACCAATGATGCTGAGGCTGTGGTGAAGCACAAGAAGAGCCGCGCGCATCGGAAAAAGATTGAAGATTTGGCAGAACTCGGGATCCATGGGCCTTTCAAAAAGTCGCATCGGCGGGAGCGACGTCCTTTCTCGGAACAAGATGACCTGCAGATCCTGGAAGGGCTCGACAAGTACGGGCCGTCATGGACTAAAATCCAGCGCGACCCGCGCTTCAGTCTTTCGGGCCGCCAGCCCACCGACTTGAGAGACCGAGTGCGAAACAAGTACCCAGATGTATACCAAAGGATCGAAAGAGGTCTTTTGCATCTCAAGGAGCTCAAGGAGCGAAACGACAGTGTCGACACATCGACCAACGCAGCAAAGGAGAGCGGCAGTTCTCAGCCACGCCAGGCGCACCAATCGTCTATTGCTCAACTAGCATGGAAGGAAGACCTCACTCGCTGGACCGTGTCGCCCATGGAAAACGAGGAACTGCCCGTCGTGCCGCAGCCATTCGAGCTGACCGAGGCCTCAACGACAGCATTTATGGGAAGTGTTGGCGAAATGGACATTTCCCGCCTTCTGCTTGACGATTCAGAGATATCTGACCTTCCTGGCCGGCACATGGCATCTGACTCTGATCTGGTGTCTCTATGACCTCAGAGCAAATACACGCCCGGCCGTTGACGGTCAGGCACGCTAGCTTGCTGCTCGGTTAGAGCCTCATCTAGACGATGGGCCTCTGATGCAAGCGACTTTTTCTTTTGTCAACAGGGAAGGTATTGCAGAACGACTCATGGTATCCTGCGGGGCCATCCACTTGATTTCATGGTACTCAGGACCCAAGGATGGGTATATACCCGGCGCTTGGCATCGTCCTACGAACGAACGGCGCACTTTCAATTTGTTACCTCGCGGCCAAGTTACGACTGGCTGGCGAGTAGAAAAAAAAATGGCTTCGGCAACGGGACACGGCAAATGGGAATGATTTAGATGGAGAACTGTCGCTTCTGGCACAAGAAGGGGGGAGACTCGAAAACGGCATCACTGCTTGGGTCGATTCACATGTCCGATAGAGTGCGTTGCGTGCAGTTGTGTGTACCGTTTTTAGAAATCATCAATCGTGAGAAGAGTTTCCTCGACGCCCTTGGTTCCTCATGACCACGTCTTGTCCATCCCCTGTTGCCTGTGGATGATCTGCTTCAGGACTGTCCCTTTTCGTCGCGGTACGGATCTCGGTCACTACACCGAGGGTGAGTGGGGCCACTTCGGTCAGTCGGTGGTGGGCCACGCAGGTGGTCGGCACTGGCCCACATAAAACAACCAATGATGTCGCTCTCGAACAGTCCCGCCTGTCCAGGGCAAGAAAACCTACCTCCACAAAGAATTTTCTCGCCAGGCAGGACCACACTTGTGTACAGCCCGACTTTTCGTGTGGACTTGACCTTTGACCTCACCTTCACCACCAACAATCTCCATCCACCAGACTCGGTACTAACAGTCAAGATGGGCAAGGGACTGTAAGTTCACCACGATCTCGCCCTCTACCTGACGCTCGCAATGCCTTCGAGATGACGGGCTCGCATTTCGCAGCCCCAACGTCGTCGGCGCTGCCATGTCAATGGTCGGTATGCAGCCAGTATCAACAGGATCCTGACTTGTCTCTCTTCACAGCAAGAAGCACCAGAAGCGCCTCAGCGCGCCCTCGCACTGGCTTCTCGACAAGCTGTCGGGCACCTACGCTCCCCGCCCTTCGGCCGGTCCCCACAAGCTCCGCGACTGCATGCCCCTGATCGTCTTCCTGCGCAACCGCCTCAAGTATGCGCTGAACTTCCGCGAGACCCGCTCCATCATGATGCAGCGCCTCGTCAAGGTTGACGGCAAGGTCCGCACCGACATCACCTACCCCGCTGGCTTCATGGACGTCATCACCATCGAGAAGACCGGCGAGAACTTCCGCCTCATCTACGACATCAAGGGCCGCTTCACCGTCCACCGTATCCAGGCTGAGGAGGCCGAGTACAAGCTCGGCAAGGTCAAGCGTGTCCAGCTTGGCCGTGGTGGAGTCCCATTCTTGGTCACGCACGATGCCAGGACGTGAGTCAAATCATGCCCTCGTAAGACATCATTCAGCCGTTGGATCAAGCTTTGGTCGACTCGGGGGGGGATCATGAATACGCTGGAAAGAGCAAAGAGATAGACACCTCTTCCGGGAGGCTGGATCTCTCGGCCTGTACGTGCGCAGCGGGTTTCGGCTTTGCTGCTGCCAAGCGTGCTGCTGCCACCTGTTGCCTCGCAGCCTCTCCGTTCAAACCCCCGCGACGAGATTGGAGCGACCATCTATGCGGCTGTATGTGTCTCCCTTCCCCTCACGTATGCTAACGTTGCGTCCTTCTCACAGCATCCGCTACCCTGACCCTCTGATCAAGGTCAACGACACCGTCAAGATCGACCCTTGCCACTGGCAAGATCACCGACTTTATCAAGTTCGACACCGGCGCCATTGCCATGGTCACCGGTGGCCGTAACATGGGTCGTGTTGGTGTCATCACTCACCGTGAGCGCCACGACGGTGGTTTCAACATCATCCACGTCAAGGATGCCATTGACAACACCTTCGCCACCCGTGAGAGCAACGTTTTCGTCATCGGCTCTGAGAAGCCCTGGATCTCCCTGCCCAAGGGCAAGGGTGTCAAGCTCACCATCGCCGAGGAGCGTGACCGCCGTCGCGCCCACGCCATTGCTGGCCAGTAGACGATTCATGTTTTCTAGTCCAGGACAATGGGGGCGGGGGAGCAAACAGGGTTTCAAAAAGGGTGTTGAGTGCAAAGCATGAGACAAACGGAGTACAGGGCTGATTTCGAGTTTTCGGCTTTATGAACTACTACCCGGCGGGTAGCTGTAGCCAGCAATACCATGCCATTGAAGATCACCCTGACGTTACCTGTTATTCCTCTTCCGATTCTTTGAACGTGACCTGTGATCATGTGTTGTGTTCCACAGTACACGTACCCGTTTCATCGTGGCTGTTGTTCCTGTCTATACTCACGGCCGAGGTCCCTCACCTGGAGTATGTCGACAGGATTGACAAGACACTTGCTGTTGTAGAGACGGACTACGACGCGATGGTAAACCACTCGTAGTTGAGCACAAAGACGCGTCTATTGTTCTACAGATGGTTCCACAACGAGCCTTTGCTGACAGAAAATGGCACCGCGTGCCCCCCTACCAAGACACCATACGTTCCGGGCTCCATCCTCCAGGCGACCTCGTTCTCATCCCAATAGCTGCACGCTACTTTGAGATCTACCGTGAGCTCGACTATCCTCGACTCGCCCGGTTGCAACATGATCTTGTCAAAAGCCTTGAGCTCCTTTTCAGGTCGTGACACGGCCGTCCCGTCCGCCGGCGTTACATACAGCTGCACGACCTCCTGACCAGCGACTCGGCCGGTATTCTTGACCGTGACACTGCATCGCAAGACGGCCGTCTCCGCGTCTTCCTCCGCCGTTGCGCCGAGCCCCTCATACTGAAAAGTCGTGTACGACAGGCCAAAGCCAAACGGCCACCGGACTCTGTCTCCGGCCGCCGCCTGTGAAGAGCGGTAGCCGACCTCGACGCCCTCGGCATACTCGATCTGCACGCTGCCGTCCTCCAGCTTCTGGGCAGGAAAGTTACCGAAGCTCGGCGCGTCCTCGAGCGTCTTGAACCACGTCGTCGCCAGCCGGCCGCTCGGGCAGACGGTGCCCGCCAGCACGTCGACCACGGCCCGCGCCCCCTCCTGGCCGGGAAAGTGCGCGAGCACGACGGCGTCGACGTCGTGGACCACGGCACTGACGTCGATGGGGTTCCCGCAGTGCAGCACGAGCACCGTCTTCTTCGACGCGGCGGCCACAGCCTTGATGAGGGCGGCCTGGTTCGCCGGCATGCGAATGTCGTCGAGGTCGAAGCCCTCCGACTCGTACTGCTCGTTGCGTCCCGCGTAGATGACGCTGACGTCTGAGGTGCGGGCCAGGGCGACGGCGTCGGCGATGGTCTGCTGCTCGTCGTAGGCCTCCTCGAAGCAGAGACTAGCCGCGTAGGGGGTCGGCTCGCCGATGACGAGCTCGGGAGGGCCGGCCATGTCGAGACGAATGTCGTAGGAGACGCCGGCCCCCATGGATATTTGTGTGCCTGTCTCGAGGAGAATGTGGTTGAAGATGAACTGCTCCGTCGGGATGCCCTTGTCGGAGCCCGTCAGGACGGTTTCACCGTTGACGGTGAGGGTGAACGCTCCCGTGCATCTGATGGCGAGGGTGTGATCGCCGGACGTGGACGGCGTCAGTTTCGTTGTGATCGTCAGCCGGGACCCAGGTACCTTGAGACCTGGCTTGAATTGCCCGAGCATCCAGACGACGGGCTTGTCCTGGTGCTCCTCCAAGAGCGGCTCGGGCGAGTCGTCGTTGAAGTAGGTCACGTCTGCGCCTGGACGGCCATCCTTGGCAACGAGTTTATCGGTGTCGGCGACAGGGACAATTCGTCGCGTCCGCACGCCAGGAGAGTATCGCACGCGTTCTGCGTTGTTTACCGCCTCTTTCCAGAGGTCAACGGGAGAGCTTCTGTACTGCGGCGTGCATGAAGCGCTGCCGCCTCCAGTGATGACAGGGTCTCGCGCGAACTCCCCAATGACGGCAACCGTATCGGCAGAGGACTGTGTCAGGTCAAGAGGCAGTGCCTCCTGTTCGTTCTTCAAGAGGACAATGCCGCTGGCCGCCAGCTCCCAGGCCAACCGGTTCGTCTTCTCATTGATGATGGACTTCTCGGTGCTGATGCCGTGGCACGCCTTGGTCCGATCCCGCAGCTCCAGCATCTTGAGCACGCGAGCATCGACCTCGCCGATGGTCACCTCGCCCGACTGGACGGCTTTGACAAGCCTGGCACCCCTGAAGATGGGAAACGGCATCTCGAGGTCGAGGCCTGCCTGGATGGGTGCGGCCGTGTTGTGCACGGCGAACCAGTCCGACATGGTGATGCCCTTGTATCCCCATTGGGCCCGGAGCACCCCCTCCATCAAGGGCTTGTTTTCACTGCAGAAAGCTCCATCGACCTTGTTGTATCTGGTTTGATTTTCACGTCAGTCTTCTGTCTCTCGCGCCTCTCGCGCATCATTCCTACGCCTCGAATAGGGGATCCTTACGCCGTCATGATGCCCACAGGATCCGATATCCTCAACAGATGCTGCCAGGCGGCGAGGTAGACCTCTCTCAAGGTCCTGCTGTCCGCCGAATGCTTGACGTCGTAAAAGTGCCTCAGTGTCTCCGAGTCGTTGCAGACAAAGTGCTTGGGGCACGCACCGACACCCATGGCCTGGATGCCGTTGACCACGGCGCCGGCAAGATGGCCCGACAGCAGGGGATCCTCGCTCATGCACTCAAAGTTGCGGCCGCCGCGCGGATCGCGATGGATGTTGATGGTAGGCCCCAACACGACCTGGGCGCTCTTCATGCGCGCCTGGTGGGCGAGCTCGCCGCCCAGGCGACCCAGGAGCTCGGCATCCCACGTCGAACCGTAGCATGCTGTGTTGGGGAAACTGGCTGTTGTGAGGTCCGCCTCGATGCCCGCAGGACGGATGCCACTGACGGAATCAGCGACCTGAAGGTGTGTCAGTGTATGTCCTGCTGCTCGTGAGGAGGCGTTCATACTCTTATGGGCGGTATGTCGAGCCTCTCAACGCCAGCTGCTGTAGAAAAGTCGCGGCCTGAGAGAAGAGTGACCTTCTCTTGGAGCGTGAGCTCCTCGAGAAGCTCTTTGAAGGTCATATTGCCCGCTTTGTTCCGGCCGGTGAGAGCGAAAGTGGCAGGACACTGAAGTGTGATTCGGCAGAAATGTTCTGGGACGTGATCTAGTTGTGTATTTCTCACTGTCGGGCAATCCCATCAAAACCCGCCGGGACATTAACGTTTTGAAGTAAATCGCGACGTCGCGCGTCTTGCTCAACCCTTATTGAACGGAAGCCATGAACCACAGATTCTCCATCTGCCTAGTCACGATGCCGGTGACAGTCGTCCTTAGGATCTTGCGCCCACGTTCCCCCAAAACTCGGGATTTCCGGGCTTAGGCAACCCTCCGAAAAAGGACGACCCCGCCATCTGGGGCGGGGAGTGAGGGGGATACCTCCACATTCCGAATCATGTAGAGGTGGGGGAGCCCCTGAAGAACATCCCCTGGCATCAGCTCAAGCTCATGACTTGCGCTTGTTGAGGTGTTAGTCTCGGCGATATCGCGAACAGCCGAATGCCTACACGAGAACCAGAGGGGAGATCCATCTAGAAAGATATCGCGGTACCATCCGCCCAATTTTCGCTCCTAAGACGAAAGGGCTATAATTATGCAAAACTATTCAGCTAACCTTCCCACACAAATCCCTGCTCCATGCCCTCCATCAACGGTCTCAGCGCCATACCGTAGTCGCCCCCATTGGGCGTCCTCAATAAGGTGTGAATGTGAAACTTGGCTGGCTCCTTGTTCGTCAGGAATACGCCGGAGTGGTGATCAAATTCGACAATGATAACCGGACTCTGGATACGATAGTAAAAGGCGTCCTCGTTGCCGAAGCCCCCGATCCAGCAAAAGTACGTCTCGTGATACCAGGCCTTGACCTGCTCCATCCGCGCCAGTCGAGCCTGCTCTGGGAGGTAGAGGAGGTACTGGCCCATGATCTGTGACACGAGATCCTGCTCTGCGGCCGTCATGTCGCCCACGAGGATGCCCTCGTACGGCACGACGCGGTTGTCGCGGTACGCCCCGCACAGATGGCGCTGGTCGTCGTGGTTCCAGCGCCCCTTGGGCATGGCCGGGTCCTTGAGAAGCTTGTATACCTGCGCCTCCGCCTGGCGCTCCGGTGATAGCCTCTGCATGAGGTGCAGGCCGAGGACCTCCTCCTCGTGGAGGATCCGCGTCGCCGCGTGAGGGCCGTCACTGTCGATGAGGTTCGGCTCGGCGCCTGTGAACCACGGCGAGACAACAATCTGAGCCTTGTAGAGGATGATGTTGAGGCACAGGTGGTGGCCGTAAAACGAGAAGCCCCAGGGCCGCGACGCCGACGGCTGTCCGAAGAGGACAAAGTTGTACGAGAACTCATTGCAAACGCGCGGCGCCTGCACGAGCTCACCCAGGAACCCGTTGATACGCATGGCGGCGACGGCCTTGGCGTAGCCTTCTGGCGACAGCGTCGTCTGGAGAACACGCATGATGGCATTCTTGATCTGAGGCGCATCACTAAGTCTGTCGAGGCGCAGGCCCTTGTCGCTCAGGAGAAATTCGGGATTCGACCAGGACCGCCATTCTGGAGAGTCAATGTGGTAGCTGACAAGCGCACGCTGCTCTTCGTCGAGCATGCCCAGCAGAGCATCTGCCGAACTAACAATGTCTTCGATTGGGACACCTTCGTCTTGAATCTTGAATAGATCCGGGCGAATGTTCCCTGGGGAAACCCGACATTAGCTATTGCCATGGTCATTGTCACTATAAAGTCAGGGGCATGCCCACCATCCGTTGTGATCCCCCGGTAAGGCTCCTGGAAGAGCTTCCGCCAGTGGACGTAGAGCGCGTGCAGCCAAGGGGGGTTCCTGTTGAGTTTGAAATCTTCAGCGTATTCAGAGGCGTCTTGTTTCCTCATGGCCGTAAACCGGGCGTTGTTCACATCTGGTAGGAATTGACGGAACTCGCCATGCTCGGCTGCGTGGTTGGACCCCATCGTTCTGCGATTAGGGAGATGATGCTCAAGGTTGAATTACTTTGGATCTCGTGCTGTGAAATGAGAGATTCAAACAGATCGGGAGGCTGGGCTTTGAGTGTTCGACTCATCTGAAGCCTTGTGTACCATACCGACGATGTCATTGTGTCTGAGACCAATCCACTCGGACACAGCCCGATGGGTTCGCATGGCGTTGAGCTCCCTTGTGACAGCGATCCCGGAGGAGCATCCGGATATCCCGAACCCTGCCAAGACACCCGCACTCCGCATGAGGAGACCCCGAGTCCTTGGTGCGAAGGTGCACGCTAGGACTATCGGACCATGGATCAATGATCCATGGAAGGATGAGGACGAGAATGGTTCGATTGAAAAGAATGTCGCGTGGCCTTTCGAGCGACCTAGAAGCCATGAACCTCAAGCGCATCGATTTTCCTGCCAGCGATTCACTTCGACTGTATCCGATCTAGACCCTGTCATCATGTCTCTACCGTCATTTCAGCGTAGGTAGCTGGCCAGTCCCTTCTACGCTCTTCTCAGCCCACCTGTGTGTTACGTGCAAGTGGCCGCTTCAGGAATCTGACATCCCCTCCAGGCCTTGTTCGCTTCATCCCAAAGTCCAACGACCTCAAGGTGCTCATCGGCGAGCCTGAATCAGCCACCATCGATGTCGGGATTGCGTTGCGCAAAGGCCAAGACGTGCCTGTGTTCGTCTGGTCAGGTTCCTCCGTGCTCAGCCCTGGCACGAAGACGACGCAGCGGGAGGTGGTCGATAAGGTTCTCTCTCCCGTTGCGCCTCATGAGGTCGGCACGATCCGATGCATTGGCCTGAATGTAAGTGAGCCCCGAGAGCAGTGGATGATCCCATCACCTAGGGAGTTGCCTTTTTAAACAACCCTCACAGTATGTGCAGCACGCCAAAGAACTTGACGCACCGATTCCCACAGTCCCAACCGTCTTCTTGTAAGAGCTGAGCCGAGCAGCATGTTCTAGAGATGAAGCTGTGTGTGCTGACACAACTAGAAAACCAAGCACCTCGCTCGCCAGCCCCTGGCCCACGCCGACACTGCTCCCGGCGATCACACAGGCAGACGACACGGGCGACTACGAGTCCGAGCTCGCGGTAATCATCGGCCGCGCATGCAAGAATGTGTCCGAAACCGAAGCCCTCGACTATGTTCTTGGCTACACGGCCTGCAACGACGTTTCCAGCCGCGCGAGCCAATTCGCCCAGTCGCAATGGTGCTACTCCAAAGGCTTTGACGGTTCCTGTCCCATAGGTCCCGCGATCGTCTCCAAGGAACTTATCTCGGATCCCGCAGCGCTGCATATCCGGGGTCTGAAGAACGGCGAGGTCATGCAAGATTCCCCGTCCCCGAGTAACGTATATCGCCCTCTGAAACCCATGTGTAAGGGGGGAGGAGTTTTTTTCCCCCCCCAACCAACAAACACAGTGACTTGATCTAAAAATGTCGCCAAACTGGTTAGCGTCCTGTCGCAGGGCACCACGCTGCCTGCCGGCACGGTCATAATCACGGGTACGCCTGCTGGCGTTGGCGCGGGCCGCAAGCCCAAGGTGACCATAAGGCATGATGATGAGTTCGCCGTCGAAATACTGCCCCACATTGGCACTCTGATCAACGTTTTTGAGAATGAGCAAATGCAACGTTGAGATGGGTTGGTACTGTCGCGGGAAAGCTCATCGCCTCAAGACGCGCCAGGCGCATCGAGGTCCGAGAACTGAAAGGCAAAATCCAGGTCCATGTCGCCGCCTAGAAGGTCCAATGGGCCCCAGTATTGATTTAGGAGCATGGTTCCCTCAAAGTCGTAAGCAGCCTGGCTGGAGGTGAATGGCCCAGAGCTTTGCGCCTTCTCCTTCGCCTGGCGCAGTAGTTTGGCGGCCTCTAGGGCTACGACGCACTCGTCCATGTTCTCGAGGATCTCGATGGCCATGCCGACACGCTCTAGTAGATATTGGTTGTCGGTCTCTGACGAACGTGTAATGTGCACGAGGATGATGGAAGCGGCAAACACTGTGTATGTGGTATTGTAGAACCTTGGAGAGGCTGTTAGAGAGGATGAGTTGCAGGTAGATCAGAGAAAGACCACGTACCAGGTACGGAAGAAGTCGTTGTGCTCGTGTGTTCGATATATGATTTCAATAGTTTTCGAGGCCGAATCGAGGTATTTCTCCGTGGCCTCATGTGCATCAGGGATCGATGCGCGCTCCGTCCCGGACGACTTGAGCAGCAGTGATCCGAACAAAAGAATCCTCATGTTATGATACCCTAATTCAAGTCAGATGACGCGCGCGGAAATCACGAGCATGCGAGAGGCGTACGAATGGTCAGGACTAGCTTTTGCCGCTTCGCCCATTGAGGATCTCGCGCGGCCTTGAGAGTTGACGGCGGGCCTGCGGTGATGTTTGGTCGAATTTGCTCTGGAAGACTCTCAATCCATCGGTCAAGATCCTTCTCAATCTGGAAAGCAAGGGCAGTCGTCGATAGAACAGGCGTATCGGACAGATAGATGCCAAGGCAGACTGTCCTCGTCAGTCGCGAAAAGTCTACCATGGATTTGATAATGGCGCAATGGAGAGGCTCGAGTAGCTCGGGCTGACTGGCGTCGGCGTTTGGTGAGCCCTGTATGAAAGGATACGGGCGGGTGTGGTAGAGATCTGCTCCTAATGTATCCGGCCTGCCCATTGCGAAGGACAACTCACTGCGAACGTTAGAGTGGTGGTCCAGGGAAAGTGATACTCGTAACCTACGTTTCGAGGGAGTACAGGCCCCTGAGGCGAGCATAACACATCAGTACCCGTTCAAAAGTCTTTGTCGATCACATTGCAACATCTCAATACTTACCACCAGGTCCGGGATTCTGCTTTCAATCTCGCCGTATCTGTCCTTGCATTGGGCCCGGGGCCTCGGTTGATACCCATGGCCAGCGCTGTCCTGACAGAAAGACCGACGTACATATAGCACACTGGGGCCGTTAGTGCTCGAAACAGTCTGTGATCTAGGGAAAAACTGACAGTGAGGGCTGAGTTCGTTCTGACAAACCTTGGCCTGTGTTTAAAGTCAGCTCAAATGTCCTTCCGTGGCTCGAAATGTACGGCACGGATGATACCAGAAAGAAATAGCACTGGACCATCTCGAGATCAGTGACCATGCCGAGTTGGTTGCAATATGTTTTGGCCTGGTCGAAAAACTTTCTGCTCCACTGGAGATTGGTCAGGCCCTCGAGAGGCTCGTCAGGCCTGACCCCGACAAGGGCGCCGAGGGCAAGGACGCTGTAGTAGAGGGCGGCAAAGCTAGTGACGCGGGTGCCCTCGGCGCTGGTCCATAAGCGCTCACACCTCTGGATGAAGAGTTCCCTATCAAGTATGGGATGAATGTAGTGGATGGCGGAGAAGTAGTTGTCCAGAAAGCCTCGGCTGTGGCGGGAGTAGAGGAGTGGCTGGCTCTGTGTGCCTGCATCGACGCGGGCTGAGCTCGTGTCGGGAGAATGAAAGGACGGATTGTGAAGGCTCGTGACGAGAAGGGCGTGTGCGTCATCAGCGGCCGAGCTGTTCTGGCCGCCGTTCCGTTGAATGTGGGATAGTAGGGCGACAGAGGACGAGGTGCCGTAGAACTCGACGTTGCGTGTGTGGCGATTGACGCCGGACACTTCGTGCTCGCCGGCTAGTCTCGTGGATGTGCTGCGCGGCGTCGGGATGGCATCGTAGTCTGACGCAGCGTAGTTGTCATTGGCGTTGGCTTCGTTCTCAGCCGCCATCTGCGATTCCGGCCATATCGAATGCTGCTGCTGCTGCTGGTGGTCCTCTGCCAGCGGCAAGGTCGTTTCGCTGGGCTTCGTGGCCTCTGCAGCAGCCGCCGCCGGGTGTGGCTCTCGCCTTTCTTGAGACTCTCGAGACTCGAGGCGATTGGACAAGCTCTTCACATGATCCTCGAGCTGTTGTACGTAGCTGAAGATGTGGCGATGAGTGAGCTGCAACTCAGAATTGGGTGTCATGCCACACTTTGGGGGGGGGGCGACTCACTCGGGTGCGTAGCGCCTGCTGGCAGCATCCTGGCCTTTGTAAATACACTCGAGCTTGCGATCTGGCCATGTCAGCTTTTCTGGTCAAGAGGGACATGGCAGAGGAAGAGACAAAAGGCGACCAACTTTTGCAGTAGGTGCATGGGTATAGCTCGTCACATTTATTCTTCTTGGTTCGACAAGCATCGCACGCTCGCGCGGCTCTTGGCCGGCGAGCCTTGTGAACGGCTGCTCTGGTGACGCGCGCTTTGGGTACCTGGTCATCCATGGCGATCAATTAAGCAACGTGGAGCGGCTGTTGAAAAGGCCCTGTGATGGTGACACAATGTAGGTGTATGCAGGCTGAAGAAGAAAGGTCAGATGGTGGGCAGTGGATCGACAAAGTCATGGCCCTGCTGGTGCCTGACGACTGCCCCAGACCATTGCCGAGCTCCTGCGGGGTGGCTAGGGGGCTGAAGCTACCTAGGTACCTTACCTACCTAGGTACCTTACCTACCTTGGTACCTTAAGGACCTAGCTACCCAGAGAGTGCTGATGGGGATCGGGTCCCTGAAGTGCGGGGTGCATGACGGAAACAAGAACACGAGGCAGGACAGGCCGGCGGTGCCCAAGGTACCCAAGTGATCCATCAACACCATGATCACGGTCAAACATCGAAAATACAGAGGACACAGGGTCACTTCGGTTGAGATACCACAGCATCTACACTTGGCCTGTATACACGCTCTATCTCATCCCAGCAATTTTGGCACCTCCTCAAGCAAATGCTCAACAATGGCATCCGGTCCCCTCTCCACCTGCAAGCCCTGAGGAATGGCGTGTGTCTTAATCTCGGGCACGATCTCTCTCGCAATCTTCTGTATCTCGACAGCTTCCTCGGCCGACCACATGGATGCTGAGAACTGACTGGCCGTTAGTGCTAGCTTTCAGTGGCAGTCTGTGTGCTTCCTGGGCCTCGTCAGGGAACCGAGGAAAACCTACGAGGACGTCCGGCTTGAACTCCTTGACCTTGCCCTCTACTTCGGCGATGCCTTGTGTTGCTGTCAATATACGCTAGAGATCTTCCTCTCCCATACGAAACTTGAACTTACTCTCGCAATTGGCAACATAATCTATCGTGTACTCATCGCGGAGGGCCTCGGTCATCCTTTCCAATGAGCCTCTTTGCCCGCTCAGGCGCCGTGTTGACCGTCACCAACCGGAAAGGACCTTTAGGAGGCATTGTTGTGTCTTTTGAGTTCTTGAAGGATGCAGTGTGTTGCTCAAATCGACCGAGACTGTGGCTGCAGGACACCGGTATTCATTTTTCGACCTCAACAATCCAGCAGCCAACTTCAACTTACACTCATTTGACGTCTCGATATTCCCCAGCCAATTCTAGACAGTCGAATTGGGAGTCGCGGGGAAGCTGTAACCGACCCCTATGAGCGGCATTGCCGGGCTGGAGTCGCCTCCCGGATCTGCCGGCCCCCTTTGAACGGCAAAGCCGAATCAGCTACTTGCGCCAGCCTCCTGGCCCAACTTCGAGCGGATCGATGGAAACGTACCGAGCTGCCGAACTTGGTTTTCTGAGAGATAGGCTTTCCCGAAAAGATGAATCACCCCAGCCGGGACTACGTGCTGGCTTTGAGCTAAACATGGGGTGCTTGTTGATATTTCTCCATCCATCTATGCGCCATTCTAGGATAGGGTGAGGCTGGTTCCTGCTCCAGCACATGCAAGCTTCCCCAGTCATCCACCACTGTGCCAGCATATGCCAACGTAACATTCGACAATGGTATGTTCTCATGGCTCGGGAACATCTCAGGAGTCTTGACTGACAGTTTGTAGTCCCCTATCCTTCCACAGTCGCCCGTCCAGCTCGATGTTATCGTCGTCGGGGCTGGTTTGGCTGGTCTCGCCACGGCGATTTCCATTAGTCTGTCTGGTCATAAGGTTACAGTTTTCGAGTCTACACAGGAGCTTCTCGAGGTACATCTACCGTGAAACGGCCGAAATGGCACAAAGAACTAACAGCATCACCCCAGGTCGGTGCAGGACTGCAGCTGACACCAAACTGCACACGGATCCTCCAAGAATGGCAGATGCCCGACAAACTATGGGAATCTGCTGCCGAGCCCACGTCTCTATTCGTCCACAGGTATTCCGGCAAGGTGCTCGCCATGGAGTCTGATTTTGACAAGAATATACGCCGCAAATACGACGCTCCGTTCCTCGACATGCACCGCGTCGACCTCCAGCTATCGCTATTCGAGCGCGCCAAGACCCTGGGCGTCCGCTTCGAGATGGGCCAGAAGGTCGACGACATTGACTTTGACCTTGCTCAAGTCACTACCAAGTCGGGCCTGAAAGCCAAAGCGGATCTTATCGTTGCCGCCGACGGGCTCTGGTCTCGCAGCCGCACCCTCTTTACAAAAAAGGGCGACCTGCCGCGGCCAACGGGTGACCTGGCGTACCGCGTCGTCCTCGATCTTGAGCAGGTGACCGACCCTGAGCTCCGTCGATGGATCTCAAATCCGGCCGTACACTTCTGGATCGGTCCCGGAGCCCATGCAGTGGGCTATTCGGTGCGCGCCGGCCGCATGTACAACATTGTGCTGCTAGTCCCTGACGATCTGCCCCTTGGCGTCAGCCGTCAGGCGGGATCCGTAGAAGAGATGCGGGCTCTTTTCGGCGACTGGGATCCCGTGCTGGGACGGTTCCTGGGAATGGTCGACACTGTTGAAAAATGGAAGCTCATGCACAGTAATGCAGCCTGCCCTCAGACCTCTCCTACAGTTTTGCTAACTTGATCGGTCTTCAGTCGAGGAGCTGCCCGAGTGGGTCAACGAGGATTCCAATATGGTTTTCGTGTAAGACGGTCCCATTATCTGCCTAGGACTTGAGCTGACTCCATTCGAGTGGCGATGCGTGCCACCCCATGCTTCCATATCTTGCTCAGGGCGCCAACTCTGCCATCGAGGACGCAGCTGTCCTTGGATTGCTTCTCGGTCACATTGAATCGAAAGAACAAGTAGCCCAGGCACTGCAGATGTACCAAAAGCTCCGGAAATCAAGAGGTGACGCCATCGTCAGAGAGACCTTCAAACAAGTACGTCCCGCCCTCTGCGTCGAGAAAGCCCCATCCCAGCTGGTTCAGTGCTGACAAATAGACAGCGAGAATCCTTCCACATGCCAGACGGTCCCGCACAGGAAGCGCGAGACGAGTTGTTCCTGTCGCAGCTCGGCAAGCCTCTGCATGGGCCCTTTCCCAGCCGGTGGACCTGTCCGCAGGTGCAGCCATGGCTGTACGGCTATGATGCGTTTGCCGAGGTGCGAAAAGCGGTGAAAGAGAAGCCGTTCGCGAAGAAGGCGCAGACGTCGCTGCCCGTTCCGGGTCCGAAGCTCCATCGGCCTGTGGGAGTGAAGCGCCGCGGGGTTTGGTCTACCTTAAGGCGATGGATAGCAGCTTGATGGGCGCCTTGCATCGTTGAACGGCCGGAGGGAGCAAAACACGTAGGACATGATAAAATAGTATGAAATGAATAACACACTACAAGAAGCTTTGTTGAAATGCCGAACGCGACTTTAGCAATGATGATTTCGAAGCTCGCAAAGCAGCAAGGAGTAAGATTGTCAGAGAGTGGGTTTGAGCAGAGTGAAGAGGTCTTCCGCACTAGGTCCGCAGACAAGAGATAACAGGAATTGAAGAAAACCACATGTGCATTCTGGCCCATTGCAACCCTTATATACGGGTTCTCGTAGTCCCTGGCCTCTAGCCAGCCTTAGCTACGCAAAGCCCTCCTGACAGAGACTCAAGCCTAGAGAAATGACGATGTGCCATCGTAGTCGTCTCCTACGTGGCGTAAAGGACAAATTGTCATAGAAACCTCTGGTATAATAGTCGAACTTTCTGCTGTTCATCCCACCAAATATCAAGATGATGGATCTGGCTGAGACCCATAGAGCACGAATTATTTGTCAGTATTAGCGGAAACCTCGAACACATCGCAACCACGCCCTTGAAAACTCATGAAATTGAATCGCAACTACATCACACCTCGCTAAGCAAAACACAATTTCCATCTCGCCCGACACTTTGAACACTACTAGTCTCCTACCAAGCTCCTTCGCGACAGAATCTGCCCATTAAGCCACAATCTCGTCAGCATCTAGCTGATATTTCTCAAAGTGCCTAGCCGAGACGCGCTTCTCAAACATGGTGTCTAGCTGGGCATATGTGCGCCCCTTGGTGCCAGGAACGTCAAAGTATGTAATGGCCAAGTAGATTGCTCCCATGGCGAAGAAAATCCAGCCAATGTTGCCGCCGAGGTTGGCCTGGTCCTGGTTGAAGAGATACGGAAGGATAACCTGCCAGATGACGCTGCAGATCGCAGAAAAGCCCGCACCAAGGCCCATGGACTTGGAGCGCAGTCTTGTGGCAGATGTCTCGCCGGCGACAGCCATTGACGCGCCGACCGCTGGGCCGTAGGAGATAGACGTGATGAGGAGCGCAATGCCAATGATCTTTAGGTTCCTGGGCGATCGCTCCATGGTGCCGAAGATGCCCATGATCAGATACATGAGGACACAGAAGCTGACACCGGCAAAAATGAGAGGCCTGTGACGGAGACGCATCATGAAGAAGACGTTGACAAGGGCAGAGACCACGCCGAGACTGATACCAATCTGCACAAGCATGACCACCGTGTGCTGTCAAGGCCGGTCTGGTTGAGGAAGTAGGGCGCGTTGGCGGACAGGGAGGCGCCGACAATCTGCGGCATGTACATGCAGATCAAAATGATGCGGGTGCGTCTGAGGTTGGTGCCGCGGAAGCAGTCGACCAGCGAAGCTTTCTCTGCAGACAGGGCGCGCTCAGCTTCGATTGTGCACTGAATCCTGCACCAGTGCAGCTTCGACGTTTTGATCGGGGGGGGGAGAGTTCTCGAGAGCACGGCGGGCTTCTTTGCTGCTTGCCCTTCATTAGGAGCCAGTACGGCGAGTCGGGGCACGAAGGGAGAGACCAAGGAAGAAAGAAGCCCGGGGAAGACCCAGGCAGCGGCAAAGACGATCCTGAATGCAGACGATCCATGATGGAAATACGGCTGAAGGTTGCAGAAATAGCCATGAGGAGGCCCAGGTTCTAAAAGATCAGAGTCAGTGTTCCGTTGATCTATCAAGACTTGAGACATGTCTAGTGAGAACAAGAACTTTGACCTACAAGCATGATGGTGTTTGCCGAAAGAGCAATACCTCGCATGGGCAAAGGAGCTATCTCAGAGACGTACGTCTGAGTGCCAGCGAGCACGAGACCGACGGCGAAACCCGTGACTATTTTGCCGCCGAGAAATACTGCCGGAGTCTCCGCAACATAGTTGATCGCAGTGCCCGCTATGGAGCAGATGATGGCCGTTAAGAAGACGGAGCGACGTCCAAACCAGTCTTGCAGGAAACCAGCAACCACAGATCCAAGCATGCTCATGACGTTGTAGGTAGCGTTCCAGGCAGACTGCCAGTACGCGGGTATGATAAGTGTTCCGTTGACTTCAGAAGCAAACGTCATTCTGTGAACGGGGACGAAGGATCAGTATCCCAGGTCAGGCTGCGTACCGCGTCAAAAATAAGACTTACTGGAAGGCCGGCATGGCGAGACAGACGGACAGAGCGAGGTTCTCATAACCCACCATGGCAGACCCAACTACGACGCATGTCAGATGGAAATTAGAACACCCAGAGCACACAGTAAACAGATTAAAAGAACGTACTATTGGCGTACAATGTCAAAAGCACAATCTTGGGATTCTGCCGCATGCATTCCCAAGGGCTCATCCTCTGCTCAGCGGGCAGAACAGAAACCTCTGCATGGGAAACATTGGCTTTGTCCACTCCGATGACGGAGTTCTCGTCATTCTCTTTGACATTCGCTGTCTGTTTTTGAGTCATGTTGAAGAATACTGCGGAGATGGGTATTGCCGTCAACGAAATCGGCTAAGCAGCACTACCAGGATTAGTGCTAAGGAAGAGTGTTGACTTGAAGGGTTGAGGAGAGGAGTCTGGCAGGCTGACACTCCAAGGTTACGAAAGGCAACGAGAATGGAGACATTGATATAAAGTTGCACTGCATTGAGCGTCCAACACTGAAACCTACCAGCCATCAAAATCTGGGGAAGTCAAGGTTACCGCTTAGCCCCATGTCGAGCGCAACAGCCCGTCCGGATATCCCGGCGGGGAGCAAACCCCATGGGGGAACACGGTTTCTGGACCAGCCCCAGGTTATGCCACGCGGTCGTTTACATGACTCGGGGGTTTATGGATCCCCGTTACGCCCCCAGCCCTGAACCAGACGTTCGGGGCAAAGGATCGCGACATGAATAGCGATACGCCACCATGGTCCCTTAGAGATGTCGGAGATCTGAGGATGCATGATGTGGGAGCGACAGATTCGGCAGTCGCATTGAATTCATCAGCAAGCCTTGTCATTGGGATGTGGATTTCTAACATCTAGACGTTTGAATACATCAGATATCATATTAAGTTCTGTAAGAAATCGAACCCTCTTCGCTGTAAATCCCATGTTTGAGAACCAACTTGCATCTTTGCTGCGAATGTGTGTTCCTCGCCAGGGATCTCGCCCATTCCAGACTTGATCCCATGTTCCCCCAGTACTCGAAGAAGGTCTCTGCTCAAACCAATCGGTACCATGGTGTCCGCCCCCCCATGGGCGATGTAGGTCGGAGGGAAGTTTTGGTTGACATTCAGCAGAGGGTCAACCGATTTCCAATCCTTGGAAGGATAAATGGCACCTAGCACATTACCACTAGCAATCTGCGTCATTGCAAAAGCTGGACGAGGGTCGCTGAAATCGGGAGGCCCTTGGGCTTGGCCTTCGAGCGAAACGCCCCCGACAATGGGGACAGGCCGCTCATCGTAGATTTTGTTCATAAAATCCTTCTTGAGGTCCTTGGGAAGCTTTGCAGCCACATGAGGAAGTTTCGATGTCCAAAAGGGATCTGAAAAGTTACAAGGACCGTACATGTCGAATATGCCAGCCACTGGGCGAGGTACCCCAAAACCCTTCGAATGCGAGGTTAGTCACGCATGAGTTTGGATGGAAACGAGTGAACTCACGAGAGCAAGAGCTAAGGTACCCCCTGACGAAGTTCCAAAGGAGAATACGTGATCTAGATCGAGAAATCTAGTATCGCGGGTTTGCTCTGAGATGGCTCGATCAAGCCCCCCGTCATAGACCCAGGCTAGCAGGTCTCGACAATCACGCATCGGTCCGTCAAGAAGATTGACTTGTGGACATAGGCGGTGGTTTGGAGCCAGTACAATCCAGCCGCGGTCCAAGCAGTCTTGAACTTGATCAAGATTCACCATCCGGGAAGACCCAAGCATGAACGCGCCCCCATGAATGTTGATTACTACACTCAGTTAGACTGGAAACAGGCTACTTTGTAGGCCTCTCAGGAACATTACATATTGGGCATTTGATCTGTGGCGCAATTTCATTCTTTGACTGGGGCAAGTACACATCTACGTCGATTTCCTGCGAGTCCTCGATTTTGTAGACTGCCCTGAAGCTGCTCGGTTTGGCCATGGTGTTGTGGCTCGGCGTTTCGTCGTCTATGTTGTCAGCGACTAAAGGACTTCGCAAGAGAAGGTGGCAGTTATTGTGAGACCTACGACCGTGGATGCTGGGTTCGAGAGTATACCTAGATTCCATTTGCTTGCATGCCCGAAAGTTCGGGACAATCAATGAGCGACGTCAGGCGGAAGATCCGATACCCAAGACTCGGCATTCCCGGGCGTGCCCGCATGCAGAGCCAGGCTCTGATGCGGGGATGCCGCTTGGAGTTCTCCACAGATCGAGTTGGGGTCGGGGATGAGGGATGCGGCTTCGCTTCCCACCCTAGATGGCATCTCAAAACCAATGGTCGATGTCATCCAGGTTTGAACAGAAGACCTTGTTCCTTTGACCTCGCCAGACTCAAGTTTCCTGTCAAAAGCTAAGAACGACGGAGTCTGACACCTTATTCAAATCCATACCACATCAAATTACACCAGTACTTACGCCATCTCATTCAAATGAGTGTTTCCCTTCACTCTGTGCCTCCCGAGGCCCGGACGAGCTACATAATCGACCAACTGGAGGGCGAGAGGCTCACTATTCCCGGCAGTAAAGGTGTTTTTCGTATATTGGCCTCCTCGAAGCAGACAAATGGCGGAATAGCCGTCTTCTCCAGTGGCGCCGTGCTGTCCGACGCGCCTGGCTTCCACTGGCACGAAGAGGCACACGATATTTTCATGGTGACCAAGGGATCCCTCAAACTATGGAACGGAGACAAGTGCCGCATCATGGGGCCTGGGGACTTTGCCTATGTTCCTCCTGTGAGTTGCAGGTAGCCGTGCCTGAGCCACGCCTTGGCCCTCTCGTACTGGTTCTTCCGGCTGATCCCTTCACAGAAAGTCATCCACAACCCCGAGATGCTGGGCCCTCACACGGAACTATATGGACTTGTGGCTCCCGGCGACTGGATCGACTTCTTTCGCTTTGTGGCCGAGTCCTACGATGGTGTCCTCGTGCCCGAGAATGACAATCGCAACCTAGGTGCTCTCCTCGGCCAGAAGATGGCGACAGCGAAGGATCGTTTCGATGTCCACTTCGAGAGAAACTACCAACCGCCCGCACTGGGAGATTGGCAAGAGACGGAGAACGTCCTGCCATCACCTGGCGAGCCGTACTTCCTTCGAGCAAACACCGGCCCGAGGTGGATGCTGGGAGGCGTCATGTCTAGGCCGTTCATTCACGCTTCACAGTGCAGCGGCAAATTTGCCGTCTCCAGCATCGAGTCGTCGAAGGTGTACGAGGCCTCGCCACTGCGGCAATGGTTGACCTTCGCGACGGTAGATCACTGCTTTTGTGTTCTGGAAGGCGTGCTGAGGGTTCAGACGAAATCAGGAGGCGCGGCGTGGAGCGAGGTCAGAGAGGGCCAGACGCTGGTGGTTTCGGCTGGCGAGTCGTTCCAACTTGATTTTGGCACGCGATTTGTGAGAGTGTGGTCGTTTACGAACGGGCAAGGTCTCGAGGAGTTGATTCGTCAAGCTGGCGCACCGTATTCGGGGTTCGTGCTGCCAGATTCTCAACCGGCGTGGGATCAGGATCGCCTCGTGGAAGCCTGCAAAGCGCTGAATGTTACAGTTGAGGGAGGTTCCCCGAGGTAGTGATATAACCACATAGTATCTAGGAGGGATCTAGGAGGGATGGTAGAACAGATAAATATGTGTCCACTGTATGAAGATCTTTTGAAACGCTCATCAGGTTTTAGTGCCAGGTTGCTATTTACCTTGGGAACACGATGTGAAAAGTCTCTTCGTCAGCATTCTGAACCCATCATCATCACGTGGTGAGCCTGCATTCTGGCCCTGTGCCGGGGACCGCGGGCAGGTGGACCCTACACGCTCTGCTCGACAGTGACAAGGTTAGCAAGTACACGCTATAACTGCCCCATGATGTCGCCCATGCATGTTGTCACCGCCAGTAACTCCCCTCACCCAACACAATCCTCGACCAGGGCCTTCCACGCGTCAATGTGCGCGCCCACAGTGTACGGCGCTCTGGCCTCCTCACACTGCCGTCGGCGATGGCAATCGCAATGAGACAGCTGACACGTACTGGCCATCAGAAGCAATGAGCGCTGTGGTCGCGAATGGACCAGCGGAGCTAGAGATATCGTCAGTACCCGCCAAAGTCGGTACTCGGTTCTCTACCAGGGCCCTTCGTGTCTTGAGGAACTGGTTTGCAGCGCACGAGGACCATCCTTATCCTCGTGCTGGAGACATGGAGTCATTGCAGGCTCAGACTGGGCTCAACAAGCTGCAGGTTTCTACATGGCTTGCGAACACTCGCCGGCGGACCAAGTCCAGGGTTCCCGTACGGCCTACATCACCAAGCGTCCTATCGGCACCAAATCTCGAGGCCATGGAAATCCCCACCTCGCGACGACCTGAGCTGGTAGATCAGATGGACCCCTTGGGAAGGTGGCAGAACTCACCCCCGGAAGACGAGGCTGCGGATGCGAAAGCCATCTTGAAGGCTATATCTGCATCTCCTGATGCCTCAGCGCAGCCGAGGCATCCACTTCTAGTGAGGCCGCAGCCTTCAGTTTGGGGAGAGTGGTCATCTGCGAGCAGCGCTGGGACGTCTCAATCTAGCAACAGTTCTGGCGGTTCTGCGTACTCACAGGGGTCTGCCTCTTCACGCGCACAGTCGCGCGACCTGGCCAGATACACCAAACACAAGAGGCGACGAAATCGAGGTACCGCCCAGTCGGCAACAACACGTACAAAGCTTTCGCAGCTACCGCGCAAATTTCAATGCACGTTCTGTACGGAGTCTTTTGCCCAGAAACATGGTTGGCAGCGACACGAGAAAACTATGCATCTCTCTCTGGAGAGATGGGAGTGTTCACCAGAGGGGCCGTACTCGCGAGATGATGACGGCCATCAGGCGTGTGCGTATTGTTCTCGACGGGAGCCCGACGAAGGTCATATGTTGGCGCATAATTTTGAAGTGTGCATAGACCGGCCACCCGAAGAGAGGTCCTTCTATCGCAGGGACCACCTCATACAGCACCTCAAGGCGGTTCATCACGTCAAGCTCGACCCTTCACTCATGGAGCGCTGGAAACAAACAATACAGGATATCAAGTCATCCTGTGGCTTTTGTGGCCTATCGATGACATCCTGGACAGAGCGTGCCGACCATTTGGCGGATCATTTCAAATCCGGCGCAACCATGGCGCAGTGGCTTGGTGACTGGGGATTCGACGATGACGTGGTCCAGATGGTCCAGAATTCAATACCGCCTTGTAGGTCTCTCCCATATTTCTCCTTGTCTCTTTGGAAACATCTCCTACATGAAACTCTAACTCTGCTCCACTAGATCTGATCGAGTTTGAACGCACGTCGCCGTGGCCGTTCACGACGGACAGAGGCCCTCCAGCAACGCCAGCAAACGCCTTTGAGCTCATCAAAATTGAGCTGGACTATTTTGCTTCATGTCTCGACGAAAAGAACCTACCCCCTTCTCAAGAGGTTTTGCAGTACGAGAGCTGTTGCATTATCGTCGGGTCTGAAATGCTATCGCCATCTCAAGATGCTCACAACACGCCGCGGTCCTGGTTGCGAGATCTCTTAATGTCTGATGAGCATGTCGCACGACGAGCTCGTAATACACCTTTGGCAAGCATTGTAAAAGATCGGGCGACAGAGTTGAGAATCAACAGCAAGGCGGACATTTTCGACTCTTGCAGCCTGGAAGAGCAACTCCAATTATTCATGGTACAGAATCTTGCCTACGAATCGCCAGTCGATGATGTTGACCTGCAACGTGGGGCGTGCCAAGTCGTGCAGAACGCAGACGCGCAGTCGAGAGAGCCTTCTGAGTTGTTTATGTCCTTCTTGACAGGCCTCATCAATAACTCTTCTCACTGGTTGGCGCCGTTTCGGCAACGATCTGAAGCAACTGCGTTACGAGCCAGTCGTGATATACGCCTCGGAGAACCTGGGTTTGATGCGTCACACCATCGCGAGCTTCAAGACCAGAAAGATCAAAGCGGCAACGCGGCTCTTGGTACGCTTACAGAGCCTGTATTTGCCTTGGACGAGCCGTTCGACCAGGAACTTCCAAGACAAGAGCTACTAGCGGAATTACCAGGTCCACAGAGGTTCACTTTCCTCTCTACCGACACATTCTACTGGGGTCTGAGACGTGAGCTGTCGAGATTCGTGGCCATGTCTATGTCTCCTAGGAACCCTGATTGTCACATTCCGACAGATGAAGAGCTCCAGAATCAAGCCCGGTGGATTATGTTTGACAGGTAGGATCTGATCATGTGCCGCCGCCAGTGACGACCACTCAGGACTGCAAGTAGCTAACAGTGATGGCACACAGCGATGATACATGGAATCAAACACCTGCTGATAATGCAGAGTGGCTCCTGCAGTTCAAACGAGACAATGGCTTAGCTTCCTGGAACGGGGCCAGTAATGGGTGATGCCTATGATCTCTCAAGACAACTTCATCCCTGAAATATTGAGGGGAGGAGCTGGGCCGTCATGCAACACGTCACGGTCTCGGCAGATACGGAGGGTTTCATCAGCGTGCGTTTCTTCGGCGCCGTCTATTGGTCCTTCTCGTCACTACGCTGCTTGACTATGCAGCCAATCTGCTGGGCCACATCGCTCTGAAGCATCCCGAAACCGCTTGCAACCCCTTCTCTGTCACCCTTGCCCATCTCCTGGCTCATCTTGAACTTGCCCTCCAACCGGTCAATGTCAATCTCGATGCCGATGATGCTCTTCCTCAACAGCTCGATGTACTTGTCGGGAGCGTCTGTAACCTTCCAGTCCGTCGGGTGCTCGCCGCCGACGTATCCCATGACGCTCGTCTCGGAATGGCGAGTGAGGTCGGTTATTTGCTTCTGGAGAAACGCAGAGGTCTCGTCAGACTTGGAGTCGAAGTAGATGCGAGCGCGGCCGTAGACTTGGGCGGCGGCGTAGTTCCATGTCGGCACAACCTTGCCCGTGGCAGGCTTCGTTTCAGTGTAGAACTTGGGCGTGACATAGTGGTGCTGCGCCGTGAAGATGACAAGGACATCTTGTTCTAACACACTCCCTTTCTCGGGGTGGGACGACAATTCTTCGATCATGGCCTTGCTGTGGGGGTTCATTCTGGCGAGATGGCCACGAAGACGGCCAGTCTCTGTCTCGCTCGATTCATCGTCGACATCGATGACGAACGGAATGTGACTGGATTGAAGAAGCGGGTGCTCCTTGGACTGGATTGCAGTGGTCAACAGTCCGAGGGGGTTGTCTCGGATTAGCTGCCTCAGAACCACAAGGCTTGATTCTGCATGTACGGCTCGAATATACATGACGTTTTTGTTTAGTTTTCGGGTGCGAGGTGCTCTGATGATACCAGGAGAGAGATGGTCGGTCTCGAAGGGGTTTCTCAAAGCCTTTAAGTACCCTCTCTACCCTTCCATGTCATGCTGGGATGGATGACTCCTTGGCTCCGGCAGCCGTCGGCGGACGGTCGAACACACGCGGGTG